TATTCAAGAATGAATTTTATGGAGGGTTTCCTTTTACCTCCTGGCTTGAAACCAGGGGTGGCCCCAGTGTGGAACTATACAGCAGACACAGGCAGCAAAAAAATCACTGAGAACCCTTATTTTTGGGTCAGAGAACAAAGAAAAGGTATTCCCACAGCAGAAAAGTATGGGCAAAAATCCCTGTGTACCTGTGGTCTCAGGTACACTTTGACTTTGGAATAATCATAGGTTTAGAGAAAACCTGTAAAGATGGTATAGAGTTCTCAAGCCCCCCAACCCAGTTTCCCCCAGTGTTAACATCCCAGCATAAACATGTTCCATTTTTAAAAACAAAGAAACCAGGAATGGTAGTTTACTATTTTACTAAACTCCAGACTTCATTTGGATTCACCAGTTTTTCCACTGATGTCCTTTTACTGGCATCTGATGAACCGTCGCTAAGAGTGCCTACCACTGGACTTATTGAGGAAATAAGAAATATTCTTGTTGTTTAAACCACTGCTGTTCATGCATTCTGATACCTGTGTTCATTAACTGACAAATGAGCAGAGTCTGGTCCTTCTTAGCACAGAATGTCATATGTGCAATTCTGCCCTCTGGACACTGTTATGACCACTGTCCTTTTCCTCCCAGCCACTTCATCTGATGAAAAAGAAGGTCTGCCTCTAGAGGATTAATTGCAGAACCAATAATACTGCATGAGTTGGGATTCCTTCAATCAGCCAACAAACTCTTACTGAGTGCTTATTGTGTACTGAGCTCTATGTTAGGTACCAGAGGGACAACAATAATGAGAAAAATCCCCTGTTTTAAGTGGAAGTGATGGACAACATACAAGTAAGTATATAAAGTCAGGTTGTGTTATGAAGAAAAGCGGCAGAGTAAGCATGTTGGGCGGCTAGACTAGATAAACCGAATAACAGCTGTTTCAGAAGTTCATGCAGAGGTGGACTTGTGGCCTTTTCCATGTTCTTTAAGGAGGTGATAAGGAAACGTGTGTCTTGTAAAGCCTTATTAATAATCTAAACTTAGAGCTGAAAATCAACGTTTAGTTTGGGATTATTTTAAAACATAAAGGAAACAGCTACATCAGGAAAGATTTTTAAACCTCAATATGAGATTGACCAATCCATGAAGGCTCACAAACTTGGTATCTTTACAAGGGAAGAACTTACAAGGGTTGATGGCCAGATAGTGGCAGCGATGCTAGATGATTCAAAATTTTTCAGAATAGAGAAGGAATGAAGGATTAAAGAACAAAATTAAAACGAGGACAGAGAAAGGAGCTGTAGGCGTGGAGAAGTCATCACGGCAGCAATTTTCGCGGCCTATGACACCAAGGTCAGGAAATCCCTTTGGGTGGGGTAGAAACTTGGGTGGCAGGTGTTTAGAAACAACCTGACTGATGATCTTATTTAGAGCAGGAAGAATGACCGTTCCAGCCATTCCCAGTTTAGAGAGGCTGCCAGCCGAGGCCGAGCCGGGCAGCAGAACTCCTTAGGGTCGCTCCAGCTTGAGAATCACAGCCTCATTCTTCCCGTCTGAGGCTCGCTCTTAGGCTGGGAATTCAGAAACCCAGGAGAAGCAGGGCTCAGGAACTTGGGGATTAGCAGATGCCAAGTTGTCCATTAAGGTTCCATGGCGGCCGGCCTCCCAAATCTCACAAGGAAATACTACTGAGTTCCTTTTCCCAGGGCATCTACTTCCTCTCGAGTATTGCAGATATAATCATAAACACAAGCCAATTGTAGCCATAAGCTCACGTTCTAGTGCAATCCCCTGTGACTCCGGCAAACAGTCCCCACCCTGCGAGAAACCCCGCCCCCGTTCGTAACCATAGGAACGGCCGAAACGCCAAGAGCCGGAGATTCCCGGTTCCGCACTCCCTAGCTAATATTGTTTCCCACTATCTGTCCACATGGGCGCACCACCTCACTATTGGTCAGTGCCCCAGGACTGTGCCTTGCCCTAGCCAATAAGCGGCCTGTGCACGTGCATACCTGCGTAACCTGATTGGTCATCACTCTCTGATCACGCACTGCCTTCCTGCGCCAGCCCCTTAGCGGGGGCGCCAATGAAATGACTCAGTAGCCATTTACAGCCAATCAGCACGCCGCGGGGTTCAGAGCCAGCCTATGGGCGCGCGCCGGGGGTGGGCTGTCCCGGCCCCTTTCCATTCCTGGCTGGGTTTGTTAAAGCGACAGGCCCTAAGGCGCGCCGGGGCTCCACCGGGCACCGCACAGCGGCCGCTGGGGCCCTCGGCGTGCGGCTGGCGCCCGTGACATCGGCGCCACTCTGCTCGCGACCCCGGCTCCGGGCCGCTGCCGACCTCCTTGGCGCGGCCGTGTCGTCCGGCAGGATGGGCGGCGAGGCGGGGTCCGCGGCGGTGATGGGTTCCGAGGGCCGTGTGAAGAGCCTGGGTCTGGTGTTCGAGGACGAGCGCAAGAGCTGCTATTCGAGCGGCGAGACGGTGGCAGGGCACGTGCTGCTGGAGGTGGCCGAACCGGTGACCCTGCGCGCGCTGCGCCTGGAGGCTCACGGCCGCGCCACGGCCGCCTGGGGCCCGATCGCGGGCACCGCGGCCCCGGCTGCCTCCTCGGAGGTGGAGTACCTGAACGTGCGCCTGAGCCTGCGCGAGCCCCCGGCTGGTGAGCGCGGGCCGCGGCCTGGGAGGGGGGCGGGCCGGACTGGGAGGGGGCGCGCCGGCGGATGCCCACCAGCCAGGTGGGCGGGGAACGGCTTCCGGGGTTGGGGTCCGCCCACCGGGTGGCCGGAGCCTGTTTGGTCGCCTTGACTGGTGGGCAACAATGCCTGCTCCCCTCACCTCACAGCACCGGGGCGGTGGTGCGCACCTCTGCTTGGTACCCCGCCCCTGGCTCGCTGGGGTCTGACGGCCGGCACCAGGGTCCTAGGACCATCTAGGACGGCTCTGGAAGCGAGCCGTTGCCATGGGAACCCGTGATGAGCAGTCAGGAATCAATAATCTGGGGATCTAGGTCCTGTCCCTTCTGGCGTAAGGAACGGGGGACAGAACCGGATTCTATGAGGTTCCATTCTGGGGTGCCCAGTGTTTTATGAACCTCTCCTTCTCCCCATCCTGGACCTGGACCCTCGTGCTCGGTTCATGATGAGTTAGCAAAATCTCAATCTTTGGAAGAGGGAAGTAGCTGAACAATAGGAGTTCAAAGGAAGTACTTTTCGACTTGACCATCATACTTGGTTTCCCTCTTTGAGGAAGCAGGATAACTTAAGAGTTCTGCCTCTACCTTACATTCTTTGTATTTATTTTTTGCTTCCTTTTGCATTCTCTTCTTCCTTCCCCTCCCACACCCCCATAGACCTTTGGTGACAGTAGGATCTGGGCCTTGTAAGAGTTTCTGGAGAAATGATTACTCTTCTTGCCCATTCCTGTAAAATCCAGTTAATAGTGTAGGCTTTTCCAGAAGTGCCCATGTGAAAACTCACCACATCAATGTTAGGTGCAACAATCATTTCCCTTAATCATGAAAATGCTATGAACAGTGGCTCTTAGTCTTCTTTTGGTTGGTGGAGGCCACTTTAAACTGTTTTCCCCTTCTATTTCATCAGCTTCAGCATTTATCTTTAAAATGAGATCATGATGGAGACACTCAGCCCTCGAAGAGTAAACTGCAGTGTATTGGTGTTTAACCCTTGCTGTGTCATGTACAAAATCACTAATGTGCAGTTTTGCCTTGTCCTGCTGTGGAGAGGTAGACTGATCACAGTTAAATCTTCAAGGTGTGTGAGAATGGAGTGATCCCAAAAATTGTAGTGAGGAAAGCATATAGGAACCAAGTCCTCTTTTCGGATTAACAAGTACGGTATGTTAGGTGGCAGTTCTGAGCTGCCTTATGCCCTTTCATCAGCATGGTTTCCAGGATCAACCCATGCATGCCTTCCCCATAGGTGAAGACAACACAGGTTTTCAAGATGGCTGACTGGAGTCAAGGGCAATGGAAGAGGGAACTAGATTGGCTTTTGTCCTGGACTCTCGACTCTCTGTATCTCTGTGTCCATGACTACTGAGTAAATAGATGTCAGGCTAATAGCAGTTGAACCTGGGATTCGCAATAAGAAATTGCCTTGGTAAAATCTGGGCTGTCATATAGTGTTTTGATTCACAAGTCAGATCTTGTTTTTTTGTCATTCTGATGGAATAGAATGGCTAACCCCAGACAACCTGAAAATCTTAGCTTGTTTTAGAATGTGCCGTTAAAAAAAATATCACTTCTAATATCTGTAGCTGGAAAGAGGTTAGCAACTTAAGTTGTAGATTCTTAGGTTTACTGAATCCCAAAACCTAGATGAGTTTCAGTCACCTTAAGAGATGTGTAGAAATCCAGAATGTCGGGAAGTATGGCTATATGATTTATTTAAAAAAAAAAACTGCCAGGTGATGCTCTGGCATTGTGAATCTCATTCAGCTACTTGCTCTCCTTGTCATTGATTTTCTTCGTACTTCTGTTGAATCATTGTGGTAGAAAAGACAGGACACACCAGACAGCTGGTTTCACGTCTTGGTCCCACACCAGGAAGCTGACCTTATGTGAGTGCCTCATCCTTCCTGAGCCCCAGTCTCTGCCTCTGTAATGGCCTTCAGGCTCCCACGGCTCATGAGTATCCTGAATTATAAGCTTGGGCTGAAGGACCATTAGCGAATGAGACATCTTGTGACATTGTAGTTGTTATTGCATAAGGCAGAAGTAACACACCGTGGGAGCAGCAGCAGAAATGGGCACATGATCCAGCCTGTGGGCCTTTTGAATTTAAAATGAATAAATAATTTAGAAAGAAAGAAAGCAGAGATTAGATTCCCAATGCTATAACCCATATTTATCAACTTTATCAAAATTGGCTTTTTCCTGTTTGTTTTGAGGTGGTTAAAAGTCTCATTTTAAATGTTCTGGTTCCTTTGCTGATTTGTTTTCTCTCTGAGTGGGGAGCTCCCTCTCTCTCTCATCCTCTGCTAGCATCCTGTGCAACTCTGTTCTCCACATTGGCCCTCCACGCCCTGGCTCACCCTGCATCTCAACCTCTTCTCACTGGTCTCCATGCCAGCCTTTACATCAGCAGCAGACGTGGTCCTCAAGGTGCTACCCGCCCTTCGGACTCCAGCACTCCATGGTCATGACTTGTGTACAAGAGTGTGTAGCCTTCTTTCCTCCCATGGTCTGCTTGGGGATTGAAATTACTGAGCCTTACATCAGCTTTGTGCCTGACTTTGAAGCTCTGTAAACTTTGAACACAAATGAAACACATATTCAGGAATCTAATGATTACAAATGAGCACTTTAGCCCATCCCTCAGGAGCGCTGGAATTCCTTGAGCCTATTACTTGATAGCTGTAGTGTGAGTGGGGCTCCCCTGCCCGACTGTGCTGTGACGGTGCTGTGACACTGCTCTGTCGCTGCTGATGCTTAGCGGGCAGCTCTGGGCACACCTGGGCCGTGGGACTCGCTCTGGCATGTCATTTAACATGGTCCCACGTCCCTGTGATTTGTTCACTTTGCCTCCAGATACTCCACCTGTGGAGTATTTCTATTTGAATGACTTTAAGTGACAAATACTTTTAATGTTTTTTTATTTTCCTAACATATTACGCATTGAAAATTGGAGATAAGTTTAAGAGAATTAATGGGCCTTACTGCATTCCTGAATGGTAACTGGATTGGTGAAGGTCTTCGGACTCTAGTATATAGGGGAAAAATGAGCACATTTCACTAGTGATTTTTTTAATAAATGGATACAGTAGAAATCTCCATTTTAGTATCAATTGACCAGGCGAATCTCAGAGAAAGTTCTCTCATATTAATAGTTTAATAGTTCTCAACTTGAATCTATGGACATCAAATGAAGGGAACATTTATAATTATCTCTGGAGAACCACCCAGCCAACCCGGACAGCCCTGGAGTTGGCTTTAACCTGCGTGATGCGGCATTTCCGGGTCCATCAGAGCTCCAGCAGTGCTTCTGGCCTTGCACAGTCTGTCCGCACCCTGCCTCTCGGCCTTCTCACCATCAGGGATAAGTGTCTTCATGAAATAAAGTGGAACTGGCTGACCCCAGAGCAGGAGGAAGGAGTCGAGGCCAGGCTTGGCAAAGCCCGCTCTCTGTTCCTAGTTAACCAGCATTCCCTGTTAGACAGTGGAGCGTGAGTGTAGATACGTGACTCTTGCTTAATAACTTGCCCTGTTGGTTTGGCTATTTTAGTATTATGCTCAACAGTCATAATATTCCAAGTAAATTTTTCACTTCCTTTTCCATCACTGCCCAAAGAATTCGTAGTCTGACTTTTGTGGTATACCCAAAATAAATGTCTTTTTTTCTAAATTACTTTTAGGTCCAATTTAACATTGGCAGCTGACCTTAGTATAACAGGATGCTAACATTCGTATCCTCCTGCTCATGTACAAGTGGGGCAAGCGAATGTTTATGTATGTACATGCGCGTACACGTATATGTACAGAGAGCTCTGGCGCTTTATGGTAATTGCTTGTGTAATTGGTCTATTTGAAGATTGTTTGAAATTGATTAACTTGGTAAAAGATTCAAAATTTTAATTTTCAGAATCTCCGTTTAGTGTACTTTTTGAAGTATACTCGGTTTTAGAGCCAAGAAAACCTCCTTTTAAAACAATGATTTAGGTTGTGCAAATCTTTGATGTAATACTAACCTTAGTTAAAATAACATGTATTCTTTCTTTCTTTTTTTTTTTTTAGGTGAAGGCATCCTCTTACTACAGCCTGGAAAGCATGAATTCCCATTCAGCTTTCAACTTCCATCTGAGTGAGTGAAACGATGTAACTTTGGGGGTTCTCTTTCCCGTCCACCAGTCGCACGGGCCCCCAGTCTCTTCCGACACTCAACCGTGCGTGTTTATCGCGCAGAGCCCCCGAGGAGACCTGCCCTGTTTTTCTTTTAAACAAAACCAACACTTATAAGGGCTCTTCCCAGTTTTGTTTAACTGGAAAATAAACTTAGAAAGCAACCCGTTTGGTTGATTTCAGGCCTTTGGTGACATCTTTCACCGGGAAATACGGAAGCATTCAGTACTGCGTGAGGGCGATTTTGGAACGACCCAAGGTGCCCGATCAGAGTGTCAAGCGGGAACTCCAGGTGATCAGTCGCATTGATGTCAACACACCAGCATTACTAGTAAGTTCCTCCTTCCTCTCCACCGTGCCATCTCCATTCAACGAGCCCAGCGGTCGCCTGTCACTCCCCAGTGTAACCTTGTACCCCACAGGCATTCACTCTAAATACATGATTCTGAATTGGGCACATTACACATGGCGTGTGTTAATACCATTGATCGCGCCCCTGTTGTTCAGGGCTGCTTTTGCCAAAAAGTTACACGGGTCTGGAGATGCATTAATAAGGCTTGATAATAATAATGCACACACCCAGAGTAGTCACTTTTACCAGAGCAGCCACACTCGGCGCTGTGGGTTCTAAACTCCCCCATAATAGCAGGTTGAGGAGCAGTAATTATAGAAGAGTATTAATCACGCGCAGCCTGTCATTGACGCTCAGGCCGTTCGGCTGTGTCCCCCTGCATTTATGTCATTTTCTAACATTAAGTAAGTGCCTGCAGCTGCTCTGGAGAGCCTTCCACCTCTCATTTCCTTGTGACAGATTTGGCCACATTAAAGCATTGAACTTCTAATAATCACCAGAAATACTGTAGGCTGATAAGAAAGACGAGGCTATAAGTAACAACAGAATAGGCAAGATGGGAGCTAATGAGCGAGATTCTTTTATCTAAACCCATATTATCAAAATAATATAAAATTATACCTTGTGCTTTCATGATCGCCACGAGGACCTAATGGTTCTTCATTTAAATATGAATGAATGATTTTTTTTGTTCACTTCATAATTTGAACTTTCCATCATGATACTGATGTTACAGAGATGTATGTTGAGTATTGGAGGTTTCTCATTCTAGCCAGTGTTTTTAAAGATTAAGGGGAAAAAAAAACAGGAGTTAAAAGTTGCTTAACTCTATTTTCACACAAAAATGAAACAGAATTGACTCTACTGTTCACCTTTAGATTATGGAGATGTAATAAATACGCCCTCGTTGCTTGGTCCCTGTGGCCAACATCATCCGCTAGCAGCACCCAGCTGCCCTGGCTCATAGCTCTGACTTACCACCTGCAGGACCTATTTTGGAAGTTGATGATTTTAATAACTGTCTTGTATTTTTAAAGACTACTTAGAATTGGGTGGTGGCCTCTCACTCCCTCCCCTTCTGAGATGGTCCGCACTCTGTCTATGGAGTGTGTATCTACTTTTACTGTAACCTGAGCACCCAGTTCCCCCCACACTTCATGGCCTTTCTCTTGGCTTCTGAGACATCCTGCACTGTCTACAGAGTATCTCACTAAGTAAATCTACTTTTACTCAAAAAAAAAAAAATTGGTATGGCTAATTCTAAACTATTTATGGGGCCATTGTGGCAAATAACTTAAAGATATTTTATGTTTTGGCAAAAAGAGACACTGTTTGTCATCTACTATTCTTTTATAATTGAAAAGAAAAATTGCAGCTCTGGGTTTTATAATGAGCTTTTGGTTTATGTCTCTTGTAAACTGAGCATTTTAAATCTTACGTCATTTCTCTTGATACCATAGACTAGAAAGTAAGGGAGTGAGTTCAGTAACCTCTTAGATCCATGACACTGGGTGTATAGTTGGCACTGCCATCACACAAAACCCCAGATCATTCTCAGTCAAGGACACTTGAAATTTCTACCTCCATAATGAATTATGAAGTAAGGAAAAAGCCTGTTTGCTTATTGCATATTCTAAATGCCGAGACGAATAGAACATTCTGATTATTGATTTTTATACCATTTCTCCTTTTCCTGATCTACCCATAAAGTCTCTAAAAAAAAAAATAGTTCCATCGTATTAATAGGTACTGCTACAGTTTTTGATTGCTTTTGTAAAGGACGGTACATCATTTCCGAGAAATACAATGACTGCAGGATAAAACAGAGTGATGTCACCCTAATTTGAGTATGAAATTTCACCTTAGTTTTCCTGAAAAGAAAACGATTTTTGATGCTTTGCTTTGAATACATACTTAACCTAATATGTCACAGGAAGATAAGAAAGGTTTGATTTGTTTTTTGGAAGACATTTTCTGTATTACTATTTAGTGAAGGATGACATAATTTTCAGTTCTGTGAATTTTCTAGACCCGTTTTAATTAAAGTCATTTTATTATTTGAACTTTTCAAGACCCCTGTATTGAAAACTCAAGAGAAAATGGTTGGCTGTTGGTTTTTCACTTCTGGTCCAGTCTCACTGAGTGCCAAAATCGAAAGAAAGGGCTACTGTAATGGTAAGCAAGCCAAGTGCCAGATTCATTCATTTTTAGCTAATTTTAAGTGATTTTTTAATAGCGTGTTTTGTAACATATGACGTGTGTACTATTTTAAAACATGGATAATAATATTTTATGATTTTGATATAAATAATTGATCTTCAACTATTTATAAAATGGATGCATCGATCCCAGTAGTCCCAGTATTTCTGACTTCAGTACTGTTACTTTCACGGCAAAGACTACATTCTAGAAGAGTGGGAAAAATGCCAGTATTTTATTTTAATGTTGCAAAAGGATGTCCCGAGCATTGTCGCTCAGAAGAGAGCTGTTGTGATATGAAAATGCTGTTCGGTGATGACTCTGTGCTGGGAATTCAGGGATACAGGTGGGGCCAGAATGGAGAACGTCAACACTTAGGAGTTGGATTGATAACCTGAGAAGGGCCCAATTCCGTACAGTGGGTTTGGCCCCCGCTCTGGGGTTCTGGCTTATTGGGAGTGAATATGGGATGGAATGGAGTGATGGTGGATGCATAATGTGGATATGCAACCTGCCTGCTCCAGCCATTGCTTTATTAATGCCTGAAAAGAAAAGGCTTTGTTGTCCTACTGGGCAGATTTTAATTTGTTAGGTATTAATATGTTTGTTAGTGATCTTTTGTCCTTATCATAGTACTGAATCATTTATTTGTATGTCTTCTCTTAACTTTTATATATATTGGTCATTTACAAATCTTTAGAGTTGGTAGCCTAATATGGCTACATTAGGCAAGTGAATAATGCAATAATGAGAAAACAGTGTCCACCACAACCTGCAGTCAATTTTCATCTCTCTGACTCGGATTTACACGATAAGTTTTCCAACAGGGTCCTCAATTTGTTGAAGTAATGTTGCAGCGTTTCAGCTTTCACCAGTAACAGCTCTGTCCACCTTGGTGAGAACATTCTGGAGCCTCTGAAGGTGTTTCTGTTTTCTTTCTAGGAGAAGCTATTCCAATCTATGCAGAAATAGAGAATTGTTCCTCCCGTCTGATCGTTCCCAAAGCTGCCATTTTCCAAACCCAGACGTATTTGGCCAGTGGGAAAACAAAGACCGTGCGGCACATGGTCGCCAACGTGCGAGGAAACCACATCGCTTCCGGGAGCACCGACACGTGGAACGGGAAGACTCTCAAGATCCCGCCCGTGACGCCGTCCATCCTGGACTGCTGCATCATCCGGGTGGACTACTCCTTAGCTGTGAGCACCCCTCTTTTTTAAGCTGAAGACGTGCAGACGGGAGCCGTAACTGGCCCCGTGTCACTGTGAAGATGTGCATGTGCTGCCTGGGGCAACATCATTTTATACCAGCATGACAGGCTGTGAAATATATGAAGATGGGCCTTTGTTTTTAATCAAAAAAGCTATCCCCCTGATGGGATTTTAGTTAAACAACGTGGAAAAATGAAGGTGCATTCAGGGGTGCTTGTTACACAGCACACATGGACTTAATTTTCTTTGGTGGTTATGTAAGCTGAGCTCACTTACAGTGAGCTATGTTGAGGCCTCGGTTCCCCATCACAGAGCAGTCACGATGTTCTGTGCACTCTTCGTTTGATTTGTTCTTCGTCTGATTCGGTCAGGACAGTTTACAGCTGTGTTGGGGGTGGTAGCCGACAACAAAAGCATTTGTTTCTGTGAAAGAATAATTGGGCTGTTCACTATGAGGTTTCACTTATGTTTGTGCCTTTCTCTTTTTGTTGTTGTTTTGCTTTGTTTTTGCATATTAGGTGTATATTCACATTCCCGGTGCTAAAAAGTTAATGCTTGAGCTGCCCTTAGTGATTGGCACGATTCCATATAACGGTTTTGGCAGCAGAAACTCCAGCACTGCCAGCCAGTTCATTATGGACATGAGCTGGTTGACACTGACTCTGCCAGAGCAGCCCGAAGGTAAGTAGCACGGAGGTCCTTCTACGTACAGAGCGCCTGAGAACAGGGCGTGCGAGACAGCAGGTGGGCAGAGGATGCTTGCTGCTGCCAGCCCACTGTCCTTCCTCTTGCCATTCCGAACAATCCTAACACACTGTTCCCGGAAGGCACTTAGAGAGGTTAGCTTCTCCAGGACACGAAGCTGCCAAGGGCAGATGCAGAAGTACAATCTACATCTCCTGATTCCAATCAGTGATAGTAAAATCATGGAAAATAATCAGGAAAAGAGTATAGCGTGTCATGGATGTATTTTCAGTAGCCACATTTCTGGGATATTTTTTACGTAGACTCACACACGCGTCTCAGTAAGACTAGATTGTAACCACGGTGAGTAATACTTTAATAAAAGCAGAATCCGTTGAACATTTTTTGTTGTAAAGGACACAAAGACTTTCTGATTAGAGGCAAAAATACCATCGTTTTATCTTCAAATTAAGCTAAATGTCTTGTTTCTATAGGAGTTCAGAAGAGATTACTGCAACTCGCTTCTGCCTGCATTTCCTAACTCCAGCTCCATTTCTGTTTCAGCTCCACCAAACTATGCAGACGTGGTGTCAGAGGAAGAATTCTCTAGACACGTGCCTCCTTACCCTCAGCCCCCGAACCGCGAGGGCGAGTCATGCTGTCCCATGTTTGCCTGCATTCAGGAATTCCGGTTTCAGCCTCCGCCTCTTTATTCAGAGGTAAAGCCAAGCAAAGTTAGACTTGGGTTGTGTTGTCTGTGGATCGTCCCCTGTAAGCACCTGTTGTTGATCCCTAGTTAGTAGAGGATGTATGCAAAAAAGTGTTCCAGTGATGACAGATTACCGCTGGTCCATTTACCAGATTTTGCAGCGTTTACTGTGTGATCCGTAGCATGCACGTCGGGCACGGTGGGTTGCCTTTAAGGCGTTCTATGTGGCCACGGAATACAGAGGATTTAAGTGGCCTCCTGGGACTTTCTAATACTAGGCTTTACGCAGCCTGGCTAATGCCCATCGTGCGATCAGAAGTAGACCCTGGGGCCGTGGTAAAGGCCGCCGCAGTAGTCACATCACGCTGCTTACTTTTGCAGGTGGATCCACATCCTGGCGACGTAGAAGAGACCCAGCCCGTCTCCTTCATCCTCTGAACATGTTTCAGAAGTCACTGTGTTCATCGTCAAGTTAGAATGTTGGTTCCTTCCCCCTGCCTTTTTGGGGAAGGGGGAGGGAAGATTAGCTTAAGAACATAAACGAACGTCAGGACTGAAGGTGGTAGAAATTAAAGACTGCGTGAACTTCCCAGTGGGCTGACGGGAGTGTTGCACAAGTTTGTGATGTGGTGACGTGTCCCCTTGGAACAGCGGGATGAAAATGGGAAAAGTCGCAGAGTGTAATGGACGTCCTGATGGTGGCAGAGTAAGTGAAGGGGCGCCCGTGCTGACCCCAAGGGAAAGGTGTCTGTACACAGTGGGAGCACCATGCGAGCCTGTCCTTACAGAGGTTTCTCAGAGCGGAAGACAAGTGTCCTGAGCTTTAAGGCAACGTGGACTCACTGGGAGAGACTTGACTTTGGAGAATGTATGAGCAGAAGGGTGGGTGTGAAGAGGGAAACGGCCCACTCTCAGTACCAAGTGAGACCCTCTGACAGCAGGGTCTTCGTGATTTCTTACCACATCCCATGGGACTGAAGTCCTGAAAAGAATCCTTTTCTGAGATCATGGTCTTATGAGGTCCTAATGAAGCAGTAGTTTTCACTCTTTCAGTAGTAGTTTAAAATGTAGTTTATAGGTTGGCTCTACAGTATTATGAAACCAAGAAGGAGTTCTTTGAAAGGCTTGTCAGTTCAAAGGGGAAAGGTGAATTTCAATATGAAAACCCACTTTGTTGCAGGTTGCACTTTTTACCCTCTTTAAGTACTTGAGCAGGGTACGTGTTTGATTTTCCTCGTGTCTTATTTACCTAGAAAAAGAAGGGATTAAAAAAAAAAAGAAAGCTTGCATCCTTAAGATGCCTTGATAACTGCACAGGAGAAAAAGAAAAGAAAAAAAAAGGCCTTTTCTTACCTACCTCTAGTGGGGTTGTCAGAATCAGATACGTTTTAAAACTCTAGGCCTGGTACATCTCCTTGGAGTTTCTGCTGATTTGTAGTCGCAGCCTCATCTTACGCATCACTAACTCTGAAACTGGACCAAGGGCGAAATCTACACAGTCAGCATTAGGTGAAAGTATCTGCATACTGAAGGGTATTTCAAAATAAATGCAAAATCAAGAAGGTTAGAAACACCATTTTGCAAAAGTCAGAAACCTAATTTCCGTCGAGAGACTCAGGTCTCCCGACGGCAGTCACCGCATTACACACTGTTATCCCAGTTCGTCCGTAATTCTATTTAAACTGTGATTTTCTGCATTGTTTTGGTGCAATATTTTGTTATCATTTAACCTCAGGATATTCAAACCAACAAGATTGTGTTGCTGCTAGAAGTCTGAGCAGTGTTCTTACTGTCCACCCTCCCCTTTCAGTTGTTGGATTTTGCTTTAATCTGTTGGTTTGGGGGGCTGAGAGCATTTCTGGACACTAAGTAGAAGGGAGGTTAGGGATTCCCACAACAGAGTCAGGACCAGTCCGGTACCGCGGTCTTCTCCGCATCCTAAGGGTTTGATCTGGAAACCCTGGTGCTTCCCGTGTGAAATACTGTACTTCATTCAACCAAAAGATCAGTTTTCCCGTCAATCAGTATATTCCGTTAGAAATATTAAAGTTCTAAGGTTAAATTTTGTATTTAAAGATTAGTTGGCCATTTGATCAGGGATTTTTATACAAACACTAGGTAAATGTACGTTTTTCACCCTCCTAGACTTACCTCTCTTCTCTGTAATCATGTGAGCATCCGTCATAAGCCACTGTTGAAAATTACTGTTGAAAATCACAGTGCAAACTGTTAACAGCAATCATTGTGGTACTGAAATTGTCACAAAACTTTATTCCTTGCTTTGGTTTTTAGTGATCTTTTATTTTGCCGTGTCTTTGTGTTTTAGCTATGGATGTTTAAGTCTAAGCAGTTTTATTTTTACTCTAAAGAAGATCACCTTCAGCTATTTCTTGTCTAAGTTGTAGTTTACGTGTGTAGTCAAGACAGGGTCCATCTCCGTGATGCCAACACAAAGTGAGAGAAACAGAAGAAAACGGTCTGGAGGAAGAGAATGTTGAATTATCTGGCTCTGTGCAGAAAAGCAGCTGCTTCCCAGAATCCTTCATCAGGATTGTGTTTTCACCTTTATTACTGAAATCATGAGGCATGCCCACCAAATTAAAGCAAAGCTGGTTTGTAGCACTTAAGAGAACAGCTGAAAGGTATGAGCTGCCTTATTGAATGGATATTGGATATCTGACCTTACGCAGTAGGTTGAAACTGTATACCTTTTTGTAGAAGATTCTACATTGGAACAGAGAATTCTTAGGAAAGAAGATGAAACTTTAGCTGCTGTTACTTGCTTGTTTGTTCTCCTGTTTAGTTTGCAAAGAAACCGTGGCCTTAGAATTTTCTTTTTGATGCAAAAATTTTGAAATTGAGAATGTGCACCTTTGGGCACACAAAACCCTTCCATGGGCAGAACTTTCCTGTTTTTGTTTTGCACAATCAGAAACTCAATAGGCAGGGGTTATGTTTTTGATAAGTTACCTATGAAAGCTTTTTATTTTTATTATAAAAATGTAACACTTTAACCCACAGAGGAAAAAAAAAATAAAGATTGTATTTTGTACTCTTATCTGAACCCCATGGGTTCCTTTTGTTAATAAAATGATTACACTCATGCTGTGAGTTGCTCGTAATGTTTTTGTTTTGTTTTTTGTTTTGTTTTTCTAAGACTGTGACTTAAATTGTTACAGACAGAAGGGAAAACAATACCGGGAGACAAAATGGTACTGCTGTTAAGATCCTTTTGTAAAAATGTGTGCTGTCCTCAGACTGGGCACAGCCCTGGGCAATTCTATGCCTGTTTGTATGGTGCACTCAGTTTCCCCAGGTGATCAGGTTTTTAGCGTTTCGTGAAAAAGAGCCCTTGGGATGAGTAATGAAGCTTAAGCTCTGTTGGTCAGTGAGAGAGCATTCTCTCCATTCATTCTCAAATGATAATGGCTACTTCTTTAAAGCTTTTGGAGCTTTCCCGTCTGGCCAGAATCTTTCCGGGATTGATTTAGTAGGTCTGGTGGGCAGTGAGTGAACTCCTACCAGGAGACACCGCTCGGTAAACCTCCCCTTGCCAAGTACACACTCAGATGGACAAAAGCCATATGTTTTGTGCAGGGACGATGCAACGATTTGTCATCTCAGAAAAACTGCCCTGACCCTCTGACCTGGAAAATTGTAAACCTTAGCTAAAAAATGAGGTAGAAATTAGCCCAAGAAATTTACTCTCCAAGTGTTTATAATGTGTGAGATGATGTTAAATAGTAAATCTTTTCTGCATCCACATTTGCACTCAATGTAAATTGAAATATTTGTCTCAAAAAAATTTTTGTCTCATGCAGTAAATATTGAAGCAAAACTTATGGCTATTAAAGTTTCTGCAGTTTATATTGTAAAGTTGTGGGTTATAAAATTTAGAACAAGGAGATCATTGCAATCTAGGACATAACCCTCATGTTACAAATGAGGATACCAAAACCCAGAGATATAACCTGAAAATTTGGCCTACATTCTCTGTAAGGTTCTTGCTCACTTTAAAAGTCCCTGCTTGTGCAACTCGAATAGAAGTTACAGAAACAGTAATTGCTTTAAATTACGCAGCTCAGGACTTGCAGACCTAGACGAAGCACATGCTTAATCAAGGGTCTTCAGCATGTTTACCACAAAGCCCTGCCTATGTACAGAAAGGACACCAGTCTTTGACTGAATTGCTTCATACGTCGGTTTGATTGGTAGCTGGAATCCTTTCCTCAGCAGGGGCATTTGTTTCCGACTTTACAATTTGAAATAATTACAGACTCACAAGAAGTTGTACTCATAGTACAAAGAGATCCTGTGTGCCCATCACCCGGTCTCCCCCAACCATAACATCTTACGTAACCATAACGCATCATCAATATCAGGCAATTGACACTGACGCAGCACAGAAGGATTAGCTGGAGTCCAGGCCGTCCTTGGATTTCAGCAGTTTTTGAATGCGCTCATTCTTGCACATGCTTTTGATGTATAATCTATGACGTTAGCACATGTCTAGGTTCAGATCCCCGCCACAATCGTAGTAAAGAACTGCTCCATCACCACAAAGAAACTCCCTTGGGCTGCCCTCTCTGCAGTCACACCCTCCCCTCCCCTAACCCCAGTCTGAACTGTTCTCTGTCTCTGTAATGTCATTTTGAGAATGCTTAGATAAATGGGATCATTAGGTACATGCCTTTTGCAATTGTCTTTTTCACTCAGCGTAGCACCTTTAAGATCCATGCAGGTTGTACGTATCAATAGTTTTTTTCCTTTGTGTTTCAGCTGTGACATTAAAAAAAAACATATTGACTATAACTTAAAAATTCATCTTGCAATTTTCAAAGAAAATGGATAAGACATATGTGCACACGATACCTTTGTAAATATTTTGGTTTTCAACTTGAGAAACTCCCTTTCTTGTAGAAAATATAGAAACGCAGGTTTACACAAACTTAGGGGCTCATTCTTTGCTTGCCAAAGTACATGAAGTATTTTACCTTTAAATAGCAAGCCATTGCATTGTAAATGAGCAAAATACACCTGTGACGAAAGTCTATACCGAGGAGAAAGCATCCCGGGCCATCTATCCCATCAGCTTCTGAATCTGATAAGTTTTAATATAAATCACACAGGAAAGAAAATACATTTTTGTTGTTGTTGTTGTTGTTTTAAATTTTGGGAGTTTTTTTTCTTGTCACTTTAATTCCTTTCTTTCCAGTCCCACTGCTTTGTATCAGGGGTGAAAAGCCCGTTTAGAAGCTGAGAAAAATTAACTAGAGAATGTACACTTAATGAACAGTATTATAAAACATGGACTTAAGACTATTACATTTTCCTAAACTAGAGAATGTGTTTTATAGAAGCCATTACATATGAACCTAACCAGCTTTTCCCTAAAACAAGATGTGAATCTGTCAGTGATGGAAGGAATCAGCAAAACTGAAATCAGAGTGAAAGGGGAGAAGTGGTGACCAGCGCCAGTTTCCAGGATGCCGCTATGACAATTCACAATAAACTATTTCTTTGGTGGAGCTATTTCTGTGTTTATTGATGCAGTTTTCATAGAACCAGGATGTCCCGCGTGGACAGGAAGAGAGAGGCTTTAGGCAGCATCTCCCAATGAAAACAAGTGAGAACTGTTCCCTTCAGACTTGCAAGCATTGCCCTAGTACAGGGCTGCGCACGCACACGCACACCCCTGACCTCTTACCATTTCATCCTCACTCTTCACCCCCAGACCCAGGCTGGCTTTATTCAACGAAGAAGGCAAGTTCTGTTAACCAAAGACAGAAACAGACAGTAGGTACTGTGAACGAAAATACTGCAACCATATCAGTAAACAAAAAATGCTGAAAGCAAGTCATCAGTGGCTGCCGCCACCCCACAGTGGGGACGGGCCTGCAGCCCGGCCCCTGCAGCCACTCACAATGGTGCCCTCTGAGGGGACTCAGAATAAGAAAGGACAGGACACTGGCCCTAGATAGCTAGATGCTTGTCAAAGGAATGAATTCAGTGAGCCCAAATGCTTGCTCCCTTCCGTACACAGAAGAGCGCTGAATTCTTTAACTTGAGATGCCTGGTTTTCTTTAGGTAACAAGCAATCTTTTATTCTTCCAATTACCTGATCTTTGTTGTAAAGTTCCTATATATCC